ATGAATTGTCCCTTTAAGTGGGTCTGCAGTGTTCTTTTTGTTTTGTTTTTTGTGTTTAATGTATCATCGGGGTGACCCTGTTCAGAGGTGATTATTACAGGCCACTTGTGAAGTTTCTTTCTACAGCATTAAGCTGAAGAGGTGGGAGCTGTGATGATTCCATTATATGGTAGCAAAAGTTCCCCCCCAGCCTCAAATCCATATACCAAAATTGAATGCCTGTAAAAGTTGTGTAAAATCATCCCACCTGATTATATTGCCTGATTTTTTAATTTTTTTTTAATTTTTGCTTGTTTGTTTATTTGCTTGGGTTTTTTTTACCTAATCTGGAGGGCTTTTGCTCTGCATCTTGGATATTGTTGTTTTCTGGTCTGACCCACTGCCCGAAGTGTTTGTGTGTGAGGGGAAAAGGGATACTACATCTTTAAACAGTATTTCTACGTTGCCTGTGTACCTGTATGTAAAAATAAAAAAAAAAAAGTTTGAAGTGTACCTGTGTACATAACTCTGTAAAGACACTGAGAAATTATACTAACTTATTTATGTTAAAAGATTTTTTTTTTTAATCTAGAAGACAATATTTTTCCCCATTAAGCCAAAGCGGCATGTTTTTGTGCATTTGTAAATGCTCTATTTGGTAGACTTTTTAGAGGGGTTTTTTGGGGGGGGGTGTCTTTTCTTTTTTTTTTTAAATTCCTTTTTCTGATAATTAATATGGCTGTGCTTAAAAGATTGCAGACTGAGCCAATTTAATTTTTTTTTTTGTAATGTGTGGGGGAAAAAAAAAATCCAGATTGATATTGTTTCACATCAAGCAATCAATAAAGAAAACTGCCATATGTAAGAAATATGGTCTTCGTTAGTGTGTGTTTCAACCTCCCTCAGCCTGGCACTGGAGGAAACAAGACTCCTTCAAGAAATAAACAGCAGTTTTCCCTTGGGTATCTTTTCATGTGTCTCTAGTGCAGGTGTCAGTAAGAGATGCAGCACCCTTAACTGCAACGATACCATTTCTTCATGGACGCAGGGTCAGGCATTGGAACAAGCTGCCCAGGGCCGTGGTGGAGTTGCCATGCCTGGAGGGATTTAAGATGTGTAGATGTGGCACTTGGGGACATGGTTTAGTGGTCGACTTGGCAGAGCTGGGCTAACAGTTGGACTCAACAGATCTTAAGAGAGAAGAGGGCTTTTCCAGACTCTGATTCCATGAGTCTCCTCTGTGATAATTATGGATGATGTGCCCTCTTAATGCCAAAGAGTGGAATTTCCTGTGTCATAATGGTTTCGTGCTTGTTTTTTATTGTTGTTTTTGGGGTTTTTTTGAGACAGAAAAGGTACTACAATGTGTTTTTCGTGCATAGTCGTTTGACTCCTTAAGGCTTTGAAACTCGAGCCCAAACGAGCACCTTCCGGGAGGGGGACCAGAGAGAGCCACCACCTTGCCGGGCTCGCCCGGGGAGCTGCAGGGGTGCCCGTGCGGGCAGCATCCTCCTCCCGGCCGGCCCTGCCGGAGCCCGCTCTGCTCCCCTCGGCAGCCGCGGCCGCGGCTCTCAAAGATGGCGCCTCGCACTCCCCCGTCCCAGCAGATGATGCCGGTGCCGCCCCCCGCCCCGCCCGGCCACGCCGGGTCCCCACCGCCTCGCCCCAGCCCCGGCAGGGATGCGGAGGGCCGGGCACCGCCGGAGAAAGGCGATGGGTGGCACCGCAGGGTGGAGGAGGGGGCGCGGATCCCCCGTGGGGGTTGGGGGGGTGTCGGTACTGCCCGGCCTTGCCCGCCACGCCCGGCAAGGTGCGAGCGTCCCCCTCCCCGCTGCCCTCCGCAGCCGGGGCGTTCTCATCCGCGGGGCTTGCGAGAAATAAACACGTAAATGAACAAAAACGGGGGCGGAGGGGGAGCACAGCCCAGTGCGAGGCTCGCCCAGGTCCGTCCCCCTCCTCGGTGCAACGCGATCCTGTTGTTTATTCCGGCCGCGCCCGGGCTCGCCCTGGCTCCGAAACCTCCCCGAGAACGCGGGGCTGTGCCGGCCCGGCGGTGGGGAGGGACGGGGAGAGGGCGGCGAGCCCCCCGTCGCCAGCCCCGCTCCCGTGTCGGCCTCCGGCTCGGGCAGGGCAGGGCGGAGGGCAGGGAGCGGGCACGGCCGGCGCTGGCCATGGACTTTCCCTCCTCCGCCGGCTGCGAGGGATCGCCGGGCACCCTGCCCTGGGCACCCTGCCCTCCGCCCCCAGCGCTCTGCCATCCCGCCCCTCCTGCCCCCCGCGGAGGGGCTCCATCGCGGGGTGCGGAGGGTGCGCGAAGCTCAGGCCGGTAAACGTGGAAAACACTCGCGAAAATTTAAAAAAAGAAAAAAAAAAGTTACATGGTGTTTGTTGTGTTGTTTTTTGGGGTCTTTTTTCCTTGGATTTTTTTTCCCCAGAACGAACAAAGTGATCTCGACGGAAAATAAATAGCGGCGCCTCCCCGAGCCGGCCTATCCCCGCGGCAGGCGAAAGCCAAACCCCCCCTCGGGCGGGGGGACGGAGGCAGGGAGTGGGGCGGGGGGCCTCCGCAGCCCCCGGGCTGGGGAGTGAGGCGACGGCCGCGGCCCCGCCCGCTTCTCCGTCACGTAGGATTTGGATGTGCCCTCTGACCGCCTCCCCGCTATTATTTTTAATTTTTTTTCTTCTTTTGTTGTTGCTGTCGTTGCCGTGACCGACCGATGGGGCTTCTCGCCCCGCGCGGCAGAGCAGGGCCGTCGCTTTCACCTGGGGCCGCCCCCGCCGCCATCGCGCCCCCCGCCCCGGGGGGAGCGGCACCACCCGCCCCCGCCTCCTCCTCCCCGTGTGACCCCCGGGAGATGCGCGGAGCCAGGGCCACAAAGGGGGAGCATCCCCCGCCGCCCCACCCGGAACAAAGGGGGGGGAGCCCCCTCCTCGGCGGCGGCGGGGGGAGCGCGTTCTCCTCCTCCCGGGCCGGGGCCGCTCGTTGCGGCGGCGGAGTCCCGCGACCCACACCGCCGCAGCCCCGCGGGGGAACTGAGGTGGTGCCAAGCCCAGGCCTGCGCAGCGGGGTCGAATTTTTAAATTTTATTTTTCCCCCCTCCCCCTTCCTCCTCCTCCTCGCCGCAGCGTTTCCTCCTCGGGCGGCTGGAGGCAACCTTGCCTCGCTGCTTTCCTGCGCCTGGCACGGCCCCGCGGGCCGGGCGGGGAGGGCGGGGAGGGGATGGCGGAGCGCGGCCCCGCCCGCCCCGTCTGATGCAACAGGCGCGGCCGCCCCGCTGGGTGCGCACGCAGCCATCCCCCTGCCTTTCCTCGCCCCTCCTTCCCTTTCCCTTCCCAGCATCTTTAGTTCCCTGTGCCGCTCTCTCTCCCTCCCTCGCTTCCCGCTTTACACGTACGCGTCGATCCGCGCCCCCTCCGCGTGTGCCCCCGCACGTTCCTGCGCGCCCCGCGGTGCGGGGGACCGGGTTCCCCCTTTTTGGGGGTGGCCGTCGGTCCGGGCACCGTGCGGGCTGCAGGGCTTCCCCGGCAGCCGGGCTGCGCCCCCGCATCCCCCCGCCTTCGTGTTTAGGTCCCGCATCCCTCCTCGCGCTGCTCCACGCCGGGAGCGGGGCTTCCACGCTCGGCGAGGAACGGGGGCAGCCCCGTGGGGAAGCGGGAGCGCGGCCGTACTGCCTGAAGGGTTGGCTTTCCCTTACATAAACCCGCTTGTTGCCGTGCCAGAGGAGAGGGATATGACCCGTTCCTCAGCAGGAATATTTTGGACGTGGATCTGGCCGTTTTTTTTCACTGGAGACGCTTGGCTGGAAGAGAAAGTACTAGCAACGTGCCCTTAAAGTCAATATTAACACCCACTGCTTTTCAGCTCTGGAGCCAGCCTCCTCTTCCTCAGATGGGGAAATTAGCTGGAAAACGATGTTTTCGTACATTCAGACCCATCTGTACTTCTGAGTAGCTTCAGCTGAAAAAACTTGAAGAAACTCTGAATTTCATTTTCAAAAAAACACATTCCACTTCAGAAATGTCAACATGTTTTGTTTCAATATTGTCTTAGGGTGTTTTGTCTTTTCTCTTTTTTTCCTTTTTAAAATTATTATTATTTCTTTATTTAAAAGTAATCTACTAACCTTTTTTTTTTTTTTTTTTTGAAATGCCCATGGTATAATGGCTTTAACAAAATGATCTACAGTAAAATAATGAGATTATATCGTGTGAATTGTTTTGCTCTGTCCCCCAAATGAGATGTTTTCTGCTTTGATTTTACTGGGAAAACCTTGAAGACTTTCTGTACTTTTAAAATATTGATTCCCGCCCCCCAGCTTCTGATGTTTCGTTTACCAACTGAGCTGAAAAAAAGACTTTTTTTTAATGCTAGGTGGGTTGTATCAGCACTTGTGGCTTGCTGTGTTTCATCCAGGCTCAGCCACCTCCTCCATCCAGGCAGCTTGTGTGCCTTTCCTCTCCCTGCCTGCTTTCTGCCTTGCCCACATCAGTCATTGCAAGACTCAAAATTAGGCGAAAAAATAGAGGGGAATGTGGTTTTCTCCTTTTTTATTCTTCTTTTCAATAAAGAAAAATATTCCCAATTCCCTTTACTTAAAAGGCAAGCAAATGTATATTTCCTGTGATATGAAATTAATGATAATTCAAATAATAATAATATATAACAACCATATGCAAAGTGCAACTGCCTAAAAACAAACCGGCATCGGATTACCTGCTTTCCCCTGGAGAAAACAAACCAAAAGGGACAGCAGCTATGAAAATCTCCCAAAAGAGGTTACTAGTGATGCAAACCAACCAGTAATGAAGGGGCTCTGGTCGCCAGGGAGCTTTTGCCCCATCTCCTGTCATCACCCTCTCCCTGCTCCATGGGTGCTGTGGCAAAGGAGTGTGGATGTGGTGAGGGGCCTGGGCATCCCCTGGGACTGTGGGGCAGGCATGTGTTCATGTATGTCTGTCTCGAATTGAGATATACTCAAGTTAAACAGATATAGTTGTTTTTCCTTTTTTTTTTGCTTCTCGCCTCCCCCCCAACCAGGGGTGCAGCTGTGCATCAGTGGAGTGCCTCTGCCCTGTGGCCTCTGCAGAGGGGACAGCTCTGCCTCCTGCCTGTTCCCCACTGCTCCTGCACTCTGCTGTCACTGAGGAGTGGGATTTGAGGTAACCTCTCTGGACTCCCTCCATTTCCCAGCTGTGCCTGGCTGTGTGTACTCTCCTGTCTTAATAAACCTGCTGATCCACAGGTCCACCACAAGCAAAGGGCGCGAGATTATTTGCTGTTGAGGTGCTGTAGGATTCTGTGGGTCTCCATTCTCAGGTCTCTGGGGGCGGTCCTCTGGCTCTTGGAGAAGAGTGTGTTGCAGTGGCAGGTGACACATTGTGTGGTGGGCTGCCACAGCCGATGTCCCTGCAGTGGAAGAGGCCAGCTCATAGCCCAGCTGAACCAAGCTGACCTGGGTGGGTGCTCGTGGCGGGTTTGCTGCGCTGCACTGGCAGGGGCTGCCCCACAGCCTCTTGGCAGCTTGGCACCTGCCAGCCGGCTCTGTGTAGGAGCACGGAGCAACAAACCTTGTGGTTTAGCATTCCCTACCCGCAAAGACAGGTTGTGCCAGTTCAGGCTTTTATATACCTGGCCGTCCTACTGTGCCTAGAGCTGTTTGGAGGAGCCAGCAGGGAGGAACATGAGTTTCATTCCAATTTTATCCTTGGCCTCACATCTGAGACTTCAAGCAAGGATTCCAGCCGTGGGCAGACGCCCCATTTTGAGTGCTCCAGACGCTACTCCCACAAACACCAAGCAGTCCTTTACGTGGAGGCCAAAAATCCAACTGTTGCCTGATAAAGCCTTTCTGTCATGACTGGCTCTACCCAGATTGAAACTGGGGATCTACAACCTGCTGCTACCTGGGCAGGTTGGAAGAGCTCTGAAGGCAGATGGCTGTGTCCCAGCAGGCACAGTTGCAGCTGTGGTCCTCACTTTCTTTGAGGAGAGAAGCTGTAGGTCTGGGACTGACCATACTGTGAATTTTTCCTGCCAGATGTGAAGCCTGGAGTTGATGCTGTAAGCTTGGTAACCTGGTACACCACAAACTTTACCCCCATTCCCCACCCCCCCAGAACAAAGTGATAAATTGTTCCCATCTGAGCTGCTGGCTTCCTGATATATATATTTTATTCTAGCTGGGGACTGGGGATCAGAAGGGAGGACACATGCATATGCAGCTGGATATAGCCATTTATTTACTTTTATTAGTGGATTAGTGGAAGAGAGACCTCTACTGGCTCAGCTGACAGAGCTGCTGCCGTACCTCGGCCACTCGACCGACCACAGCTCATGGGATTTCTCTCTCACCTTCCCTTCACCTACTTGGGAAATTTCCTTCTAGTTCCTTTAGGAGGAGATGAATCTTGGGCACTGAAGCATAGTAGAGAATTAGAGTCCTATTGGCAATGGAGGACAAGGCAGCAGGGTGTTTTCATCTACTCCACTGATTCCAGTTGCGTTTTATTCTCTGTGTTCTACCTCCAAGCTTGTTGTGTAGCACTGCAATGATCCTCATCAGAAATCATCTCTTTTGTGTCAAGGCTGTTTAGCCTCTGCTGTCAGTGGGATAGATGTTGACTCCTGCCTGGGCCATGCCAGAGGCTGGTAGTCAGTGGAGGCTTCTCTTCCTGGCTTGGGAAAAAGTTACTATACAGTGTTATTTTCTAGTAAAGCTATCTTTATCCGAGCCCAAGTAATGCAAAAGAAGGCTTGGTGTTTGCAAACAGGTGGAGCTGGGTGAGCCAGCAGTGTAAGACCATTAAGTCCTGAGCTGCCAGTCTGGCTGGAACAGAGGCAGTAGTTTCACTGCTGAGTAGAGCTACAAAGCTGATCAAGGGACTGGAGCATCTCTCTTATGAGGAAAGGCTGAGGGAACGGCCTGTTCAGCCTTGAAAAGAGATGACTAAGAAGGGGCCTCGTGAATGTCTGCAAGTATCTGAAGGAGGAAGATTGAGCCAGGCTCTTCTCAGTGATGCCCAGCAATAGGACAAGAGGCAGCGGGCAGAGACTGATGCACAGGAAATTCCACCTGAACATAAGGAATTAACTGTGCAGTGATTGCACACTGGAACAGGTTGGACATAATCCTGTACCATGTGCTTTGGGATGACCCTGCTTGAGCAAGGAGGTTGGACCAGATGATCCACTGTGGTCCCTTCCAACCTGACCCATTCTGTGATTCTGTGATTCTGAGTATTGCTGGAATGCTGGCTTAGGCATCCCCTTCCTTCCTCATCCATCCCACTCACTCCTGCCCCTGGCATTGCTGGTGATTTCCCACCTCGCCTTCTTTGTTGTTGCTCTGCTTGTTGTTATTTTTTTTGCCCCAGATGGATCCATTTCTGGTCTGATTCATCACTCAGCTGGCACTAACAACCTGGCCAGCACAGTGGGTGGGAATGAGCAAGCTGACAGCACTACCATAAAATCACGGCCTGTGGGCTGGTAGTCTTGCTTGTTCTTTGCAGTAAAGCAGCAATTAAAGCCTTGTGTGGGACAACTGCTGTCCATCTTATGGTTATGAAGTTTGCTAGAAGGTGCTGGGCAGCCTCTGGTACTGCAGCCCAGGGCTCTGCCTTCTAGCTTTCTCCTCACATCTCTGGCCATCAAAAGCTGCTCCACAAATGATCTGAGAGCTGCTTAGCTGGGGAAACAGAGGTTGGTGTCAATGGCCTGAAGTTTCTGCATTGTTGGCCAGGGGATCTCAGTCCCAGAGGTATTCTAGAGAGATCTGCTGGGTCACAGTTTGTTTTTTGTAGGAAATTGGTCTGTGGTCTGTGCACAGTATGAGGTCATGATAAAGGGGAGAGGATGCTGCAAGCAGGCAGCCATTTAGAGTCCCCCAGGGTGATGGACCTATGAGAAAGTACAAGCTCTAGCTGCCACCTGGTGTGACAGCCCTTCCTCTTGTAAGTCTTGGACAGCCTGGGGTAGTAGGTACTGTCACTGTACCTGTACCAACAGATCTCTGTAGCAAAAGCACTTGTTTTCTTTCAAAAGAAGTTGCTCTGTGACCACCTTTTACATCTTTTCCTTTCACCTTACCCACCTGTAGCCCTTCTCCAGTCACTGAGTGGTGAGAACACCACTATTTTGCAGACATTAATTACCTCTTCTGCCTGTGGGTAAGAAAAAAAAAAAGTGAAATATTCACTAGGCATTGTCTAGAAATCTTTTGGGCAGGAGCTAGAACGTTGTTCTGAGATGAGTTTTCCAGATGCTAAGAAACTGAAGACAATGATTTTTTTTTCCCTTTTCTTTCCTCCTTCTTGTCTCCTTCCAGGTGTTTGAGATCCCCCATGGAAAGAAAAGCGTGACAGACCTGATCAGTTCACGTCCTAGCATGTGGAAGTCTCCAAGATCAGCTAACCTCACTGCAGCAGGTAAAGTCCTCTACTATATTAATTTAAAATCTAACCTAAAAGCATACCTCTAATTTCTACAGCTTACTGCATCACTCACCTCACTCATGCTATTTACTACTCCATCTAATCTGCTTTTGCACTGTTCCATTTGTTTGAAATTGCTTTGTTGCCACCCCATCATGTCCTTCCCACCTGCCACTCTCACCTTAAAGTGCTGTTCTGGTCTGGAAACAGTGATGCTGATGGTATTTTATTTAGCTAATCTGTTCAGCACAAAAAAGAAAGAGGGTCTCTGGTTCTTCTACTGCATAGCAATGAAGCAGTTTGCATTCCCATCATTCGTACTCAGTGTGGGAGATGGGCATGAGGAGGAAGAGGAAGAGCATCACCAAAGATTTGTGAAGACCTTGGAAGAGTCCACTGAAAATGAAGATATTGTTTAAATATAATAAAGACATTTAAAAACTGAATACTTTGTTAACTGAATTTTAATATTGTTAATATTAAGTTCTTATGTTGCGCCCCATAATCCTCATAGAAATCCCGATAAATTGTTAGTCCCTTCCTTCCTGTTCCCCCATTGGTTGAAAAATGCTATGCTGTAATTATTTCTTTTATGGTTAAGACCCTTTCCCTTTTTCCATATGTGGTTGTGACCCCTCCCCTAGTTGCCTTATTTGGGCAAAGCCCCTCCTTCCCTTTCCATATTTGGTATGTTCACGCCCATTCTTCTAGAAAATTCCCTGCTTCCCCTATATAAGGGGGAGGCCCTTTTAATGAAGGTTTCATTCTGGTTCGACCTACGATCCCATCTCGAACCTCCCTGAGTGAACATCCCCATCTCCCCAGACGAGCTGTCATAAATGGCGCCCAGGCACGGGGAAGGATTGCAGGTTCCTCGCATCGAGGAAACTCTCCTGCCCACCTGGGCACAGGTGCTGGGGCCCAGAGAGCAGCATTCCAGCAGCTCCCCGGCTGGCTGGAAGGTATCGCACCTAGAGATGGGCTGACCTGTGCACACAAGAGAAGAGGTGAGCGGCTGGGGAAAATCTGTTTTACCTGTGATCTCCCCCTACCCACCCTGAATTACAAATAGAATTATGGGAACTCGCCTGTCTTAATATGTAATTACTCGACATGGCCGTGGCATTGACAAAACTTCATTAAAAGTGTTAGCAAAGTGGATTTCAGAAAATGAAAAAAAATAGTCCTTGAGGAGTTATATGTGGATGAGTGGGACGAAATTGGACACAAGCTGTGGAAAGAAAGCGATCGAGGGGAGAAAAATGCTATCAAATTGCTGGTCACATGGAGGGTGATCTTAATTATATTACAGAGGAAGGAAAATAGTATTCAAAAAGCAAAAAAGTCCCTGTCCTTACAAAAAAGTCATACTACGGCCAGACAACAACATGGCAGCCAGACAAGCCCCTCAGGCAGAAGTCTTTTGTCGGTCCAAGATGGCGAGCGAGGGGGTGGTGAAGAAAATGGCGGGAGGACCCACAGTCAGCAAAGTGACAAAGTGGGAAAGGGTGGGAAAATTAACAGTTTACAAAATAGCGTGGAGAGGGGAGGCGGGGAAACTAACCAACGTGTGGTCAAGGTGGGTGGTACTACAAACCTGTCTGGGTTAGAAAAGAGAAACATTTTTATGGTAAATGAAACATATTTGGTAGGAGAAAGCACTGGGAGATAATAAATACGCAGCACAGAGCTGTTGTTTGGGGAAGCCTTTTTTGGGGTGAAGCTGCACCGTCATGATGATTTACAAGTAAGCTTAGAATAAGAGTGCTTTGTGCTTGCTCTATAGTTTGTCTCTTCGTTGGCCAAAGAGTTCAGTGCGCTGAATTCCTTTCTGTAGATTCTGTGTGCCTTAAAAAAAAAATAATTGTTTGGTGAAACAACGTTTTGTAAATGTGGAGAAATTACGGAGGGTGAAACTGAAATAGAAATTATTATTTTGTCTGATGAGAGGAAAAAGTGTGATTCAGGAATCCCGTGGCAACTATTAGACCTTTCCTGGTACAAATCTCAGGGCTGAGGATGCTGCCATGCTCCTTGGAAAAGCTCTGTAAACCAAAATATGGTCTGTTCCTCTTGGCCCACTGAGCCTATGACCCTTGGTAGGGATGAGATTTCGTTAGGGCATTTAGTTGCAGACCATGGGTCTTGAGTAACCATTTGGGAATGCAGTTGCCATTTTAGCTACACTGTAAGAAAGGGTAAGAGTGTACAGGGAGAGAGAAGATGGGACCACCTGAATTTGAAAGTCTCTGATCAAATGCAGATTTCTTGAGGGGACAGTGAATGAAACCAGGGCAGAGCAGTTAGAAAATCCCATGAGGCATAAATAGTAGCTTTTGTTTGTTTGCATTGGTTTTGAAGCCCGATAAATGTCAAGTTTTCTCATATATGATAAACCCTTTTTCAGTCATGTGAAACAGCACACGGGAGGATGGAGTTTTTCCAGGCTGCCAGAGTGTCTCTCTCTGTCTGGAGAGAGACAGTTTATTGTCATGTATGACCTTTCAGTAATATGTGATGGTAACCCAGAGTGGCAATCTCAAAAGACTAAAAGAAACTGAGGATATCAGATTTATGCTGAAGAATCTGAATATGGTTTTCTGCCTTTTACATGAGCCACAAAAAATTTCACATTTCTTCAGTCAAACGAGGGGGAAAAACCAATTTTCACTTTTTCATTAGTACCCCAGCAGAGGCTGGAGGTCTGTAATTTTACAGGAATACTCAGAATTGACAGATGGCCATTGATGTTTTTTGTGGGATCTCAGTGGAGGTAGATAATACTCCATCTTTAATCTGCACTGAAACGAACTTTTCCAAAGGAAGCGTAAAGGTTTTCCTTCTTTGAGAAAAGTTACAAACAACCCATTCCCCCCACCTCTTCCCTCTTTGCTCTGCAATTGCTCTGCAGTCTGGGCCAGGGCCCCTCTAAAGATTTGCAGGAACTCAGGCCAAGGCTGGGTGGGCCACTGATTCTCCACTTCGCCTCAATTTGTTGCCTCTTTGAAGAGCAGCTGTTGCTTTTGAAGTGAACTTTTCTGGACAAATGAGGATCAGCGGATAGGGTGAGATTTTGGCTGCGGATGGGCAGCAGCAAATTCCGTTCACAGAGGGGACTCTGCTGGCAGAAGACTTGCAAGGTTCAGCTGCTCCACCAGCCACTTCTCGCTGAAAATACAAAACAAGTGGGGGTGAAGCAGAGGCATAGCAGAGCTGCTGTGTGTTAACCTCCTCCTGGCCTGGAGCTCAGGTGAATGCAGTTTCAAGCTCAGGCTAATCCACCTCCAGTGTAGGATGGGGTGATGTGTTGCACAGGTTTTGTCTGGGTTACAGAGACCTTGCTGTGCAGGGCTGAGTCATCCCAGAGAAGCACCGAGTGCTGCAAATGCTCAAATGTCTTTGTATTGCCCTTTCTGCCACCTTTTGTTCCTAGTGGTTTTCCCCATACCCAGTATATCTTTTTATCCTCTGCAATGTCTTTGTTTTCTCTACACTTCTCACCCAGACTGAACCTTACCTCTGAATCCAAAACCACTCTGGCTGGTGCTTTGTGCAGCTAATATTCAGGGTTATTACCTGATTCTCCTGAGGATCAGATATCTGCACTTGACTGTGTCAGGGAAAGTGTCACTCTCTTATTTAGTTTGGTAGGATCACGGCTCTATAATATAAACTGCCAGGCAGGTTTGGGTATGGTTGGATATGGCTGTACATCACACACTTTGCTGTGTAGAACAGCCCTTTGGAAAGTCAAACCTGGAACCTGCTGGGTGGCTTTATTGATTTTTGTGTTTGCTTTGTGCAGGGTGACTGCTGAAACAGACTTGGTGGTGGATGTCTGGCCATTCACACCACTGTGTTTTTATGCAGCGTTTAACAAGCTCTAATAGAGAAACAAAGCAGTCTTCATGACCACTTAAATTTGTCTTGACTAAGCACACCATTGCTGAATAAAGTATACACGTATTGTTTTCAGACAGCTGTAATCCCTCTGCTGACTTCAGGGTAATTTAATCTCTTGACGTGACTGTGCAACTCCTGTTATTTTTAGGCACATACATTAAGAGAAGAAAAGGTCCATTTAATCTGAAAACATATTAGCAAGCGTTTCACAAATCTGAACCAGGTACCACAGGGAATAAACTGAAAGTCATTAACATGTGATTGCTATTTGATGGCCAGAATGCAGCAGCCTCATACCCACTCCCTACTGGCAGGTACTGCAAAGCCAGTTGGTACTCTTGAAGATCATGTCAGCAAAGATTAAAAACTCGTTGCAGACTGTGCAAAACCATACCCAGATTCTCTGCTGATGCCAGCTGTCTGCAACCTGTAAGCGCAGTGGACCACTGTGCAGGGGGGTGAGCTGGGGATGAGGGAAGCACCTGAAGTCCTCCCATGTCAGTGACAAAGCTGGTGTGCTGGTGCCCTTCCCAATGATGCCTGAGGATGCTGAGTGCATCTGGCTCCCATCCCTGGTGTTGCAGCCCAGAGGACTGTCACTGCCTGCTCTTCAGCCCTCTTTCTCCTTCTCCCAGCCTTCTGAGTCACTCAGGACAAGTGACAGTGGAGACCATCCAGTTGCATGCTGAATCTGGTGGCTGTGAACTGGGGGCTCCCAGATGCTGGAGCTCAGGCTCTAAGTCTCCTTTCTGGCACAGCAGGGAGCTTGGGTATTACTCACCGTGGTCCTTGTGCAAGCTGTTCCCCTCTGCACCTCTAAAGGGGAGATGGGGTTACTAAAATCACTACAATCAAAGCAGTTTCCTGAAGGAGGTGAGGATTTAGTTTCTTCCTGAATATTCTTAGTGGCGTCATCCAACAGGCGTTGGGACATGCGATGGAAACCAAGAAGGGTGTTGTTCAGGCCTCCACAGGCTCTTCCAGGCTTAGCTTGGGTGGGAAGGTGAGGTTATGCATGGCAGGCTCTGCTCATGACCGTCCTCTTTGAGAATGAATGAGGGAAGAGAACAGCGAGGGACGAAGGGAGGAAAAAACCTTCAATTGTGGCGTTTCACGGGGTGGACTGCGAGCAGGAGATTGTTGATTGTTTGTTGAACAGCCTTGCTAGCTGTGTTTGCTTTGGATACCACAGATCTCTGGGTCGTGGTGGGGACTGTGAGTCATGTCTCCTTGCAATGGAAAACACGGATTCATCACCGTGGTGCCGTGCTCCTCGCTCAAACGCACGGCAGGGCGGACTGCCCCTTGGGATCAAGGGAAGGTGGCACAAGCCACGAGGCGTGGAGGCCTTCCCCTCCTACATGTTCCTGAAATGCTTTTTTTTTGCTCTTCAGGTATCCATCCCAAGTTCTGGGCAGAGCTTTGTGGTGGCCTCGAAAAAGTGGCCTGCTGGAGCTCTGGTGCGATTGTGTTGCTGTGGATACAGGGCTCTGTTTTCGTGCCTCTTGCCTAAGTTTTATCTG